TATATATTGTTTTATTTACCTTAAGTTGAATTATAATTATTCCATCATTTTTAAAAATCTTCCTTATATATTTGTAAGTATCAAATTTTATTAAAACCCTTTTAAAAATGATTATAACAAACATATTAAACAACTTTCCTTTCACTTTTTTATACCCTTCTAAAGGTTATTATAATTTAACTCAGAACTTTATTTCGCTATGAAGAAGTCATTTCCGACCCTATAAATCCTATATATACTTGATCAGAAGTAATAGCTGAGTCGATCAAGCCATGTCCGATCAAATAATAAAATTTTTCAAAAATTTTCAAAATTTCAAAATTCCAAAATATGATTACATCATTAAAATGTTCAAAAATTGATAGAAATTTCAATTTTCTTAAATGTTAATTCGAGTAAGCAGATTTATAACCCTATTAAAAACTAAAATAGGAATGGTTTCTGAATTGAAGTTAAAGCTTTTTTGGCTTAGTTATGAGATTTTTAAAACATTGATTTTCCAAGAAAAATGGTACATGAATATAAAGATAAAAGAGGATTAAAAGAATGCAAATATTATATGCGTATGATTGAATTCCAATTCAATCCTACAATTTGGCTTCCTAAAATTAATTTTATGATTAAAATCCTGTTTTATTCCTTAGATAAATTTTCTTAATTAAATAAATTTAAATGTAAAGTGTAACTGTAGCTGAGTTCATTATAAACTACCTATTCTTATACCATTTCTTCAAGAAAAAATTCTTTAAATATATATATTCTAAAGCTAAAGATTTTTTTAAATCTACAGGGTATCATATACAAAAACCGTAGTGTTTTCCCTGAGTATTTATTTGTACGCTGCACAAATTTGGACACATGTTGCATACCAAAAAATGCACAACGTAAAAGGATACTTTTTGCCCCGATATTCCCATTCCCATTCCCGATTCCGATTCCGATCCCATCCGGACGATCGGGGCAAACGCCAATAATTTATAAAGCGGACAATAAAATGTTATCACACACACAAAAAAAGAAAATATATATAAACACAAACAATCTGGAGGAGCGGAGGAATCTTTGCCAGAAGAACGAAGAATCGAGAGTCGACAGGCTGAACTAAATGCTGCACGCCTGCGCATTCTGAACACACCGTTCGAGCAGGAGTCGGTGGAGCAGGAGCTGGAGGAGCAGGAGGAGTCCTCCATGGATCCTCCATGGCTCCGATGATATATGAAATCATATAACAGCAATCGGCAGGCTCTCCCCGCTCAAACAACAACACAGATCGCATAAAGTGTGTGTAGTTTATTAAGCGCGCCAAGAAAATGACACAACAACCACACGGTGCGCTGTGGTTGCAGTTCTTTGCTGGTTTTCGCCACATAATTTATGGGACTTCAGCAAGTTGGCTTAGAGAATTTGCCACAGTTTATTTATGAGGCAAACAAAAACCGAGCCACAGATCAATGCCTCAATAGAAATGGAAATGAAGTGAACTCCATCAACATTTGATGGCCAGACGACAATCGAATCAGATCAGAAGGAAATTAGCCAAAAGAAGATTGATGTCCTATAAGGGGACTTGTAGATGGTCTAAATGAGTTGTAAATGGAGGGAATTTGTTAATGAATAATATATTTTATACAGGAAAAATAATATAACCCATAGTAAAACCTTGGATTTATTTAATTACGATTAATTGGAATTATGTACAAACTTTATGTTAATTTATTTTTCTTCAGGTTACAGTTTTATACTTTAAGTTTATTCCCTTACTTTTATTATATGCCCGCCATAAATCATTGTTCTATTTAAAATATCGTAAATCAAATCAATAAAATCAATAAAATGTACAATATTTCAATCGATTGTCGATCATCTAAAAGCTGCTCCCTCCTTGCTTCTCTACATCACTTTTTTGGAATTCCAATAAGGCAGGCACCTTCGTCGTCACATGATATCCGAAGCCAGGAAAAAACAAAAGATTCAAAGAATAAATAATCCAAAGTCACATTTAAATAATTCGAAAGAGGCATTCAATCTATATTTAAAGCGAAAATTGATCATAAAATGTGCCAGGCACGTTTCGAAATTAAATCATTTTAGTTGAGCATGAGCGAAGGCTTCGGATTCGTGCGGTTAAAACAAAACAGAAAATCGAAAAAACTCGTCAAAATCTACGGCAATCTCGGCTTTTAAATGATTTTTATAACACTTCTATGTGCGGCTTTTCAATAAAACAACAGCAAAGTCGATGAATTTTATGGCGTGGCAAAAATTTAATGACATCAATCGAACTCCCTCCCCATTGTTTCGCTTTTCTAATATACCAACAAAAAAGAAAAAAGGCTTTAATGGATTTTTTGTTCGCTTCGGTTTTGTATTTCGTTTTATTTAAACATATAAACGGGACCATAAAAACAACGACCAGCGGACCAACTGACTCCCTGAAAGCGTGTTAAAAGTAGACTAATGGCTTTTAATTTAAGCCAACGAACCTTGTGTAAAATGCCAAAGCTTTTCATTCGCCCCAATAAAAAATGCGGGGGGAAAAGTCAACCAAATAATTGAATAATTGTGTGCTAGTGAGTGAGTGAGTGAGTGAGTGTGTTTGATAAACTTTCTCTGACGTCCATTCAAAATTAAATCACTTTACGCACTTTAGGCTCCGCCTATCATCCAGAGACCCGAGATCGCCGCTTTTGAGATTTTTATCTCGATCCATAGCGGCGCCTTAAACAAACAACAATTTGCTATACACAGGCGCATGCATGTATCTTCAAGATACATTTGCGTGCCAATGGCGTAATTTACCACTTAACATATCAATTGTGCGGCTATTAATCAAACAAGAGACTCTGGGGGGAACCAGGGGGAGCTCAGAGCTCGGGGCTCTGTCTCTGACTCTGGATTCCTGCTTTGATTTGTACGCATCGCTTGTCAAACAAGTGAGACAAAAGCTAAAAAGATATATACAAATATATACATACAAAGAGATCCACGCACAAATGAAAACTGGAAAAAATTAAGTATCTACAAAGATATATTTTTAAAGAAAATAAAGGAAATACAGCTCTGGTTCTTTTAATTTGTATTTCTCTGCAGGGTATTATTATATCAGTCAGAAGCTTCTAACAATGTGAAGCAATAATTTCCGACTTTATAAACTATATATATTCTTGATCACAATCAATAGCTGAATCGATCTAGTCATGTCTGGAGGAAAAAAAACATTTTTCGAAATTTTTCAAAAATTTGAAAAAAAGATAAGGGGTTACGTCGGTAAAATTGTCAAAAATTGACCAAAAAGTTGAATTTTCTGAAAATTTAAACTTAGTATGCAGATTTATTAACTTAATAAAAACTTGCATGGGACAGCTTTCCAAATTAAAAATAGTTCATTTTAGGCTTAATTATGAGTTTTTGAAACTTTGATTTGCAGAAAAATATTGTCATATAAAAATATCATTTATTTTAAACTTAGTTATGATCAATTTCCGATTCGATCTTATAATAAATTTGCAATTGCAATTTGCATTGGCAGTTAATTTCCTTTCCTATTTAAGTTAAAGTTTGTTCAAATTAATAGTTAAATAATAGTTTAAAATGTCATAAAGATTATATCGTAAATAATCAATAAATATCATTTAAATGCTATTGCTATTTTAATATCAAACTTTTATATTTTTAATATCTTAAAAAGTATATCAATTAATATTGTTTTTTCCTATTTGCTTCTAGATCACGTTCATAATGAAATTAGTTTGTCTCAATATTTTAAGAATTACCTAATAAATATTTTAATAATAATATTTAAAATGCATTAGATATATGTAGTCTTATAAAAATACTTGTAATAAGTCATATCCCAAAAAAGTACTTTAAAATGTAAGGATTATTTTTCTAGTTACTATTTCAGCTTGAATTGAATTTATTTAAATCTGATAAGTTAGCTTTTAGTTTGAAACCATTTGTTAACTTTAAATAAATAAATCTTATACTATCTCAAATATAGTTTAGTTTATATTTTTCACACAATATTTTTCCAAGTGCCGAATGAGAGTTAGAGGTTTTTCATATCGCAAATGTCCATCAAAAGCGAGTCAAATCATAATAAGAGCATAAAGGGTAGAATTTTTAACACCTCACTCCTCCGCACACTCAAGATCTTTTGTTCTGTTCCCTTTCCCCCCCTGGACACGGTGGCCCCCCTCAAGAGTCTAGCAATTTCTTATTTTTTTATTATATAGTATATCTTTTTTTCCACTTTTTATTCATCGCAGCCTCATTGGCAGTTGGACATCCCATCATGAGGCGATCGATAAACGCTCCGGCAGGCATTCCTATTCCATTGAGGCTGTCAGATGACGCCGTCTAATTGCTTTTGTTTTGCTCCACTAAGGTGCCTAACGAACTCGAGTGCCGCGGTGAGGAGCCGAGGGAAAAATATATATAACAACTCAATTCGAAAAGCGAAACAAATATCTCAAACTCCTTCAGCTGGATGGCTGGCGATGGAAAACACTTAAGCGCCAAAGTGTATCTTTGATCTTTTTGAAGAACTGACCCCACTCGACTGTCGATTTTTGGGGGCAAAAAAGAGCGTTTTTCAACTCGCTCGTCTTTTGTGTTATTATTCAGTTGGTAGTTCTGAAGGTTCTCAAGGGGAGACATATATGAGTCAGGGGTTTAACATATTTGGGTCTCTAAATAATCTCTATATCATATATTTGCGTACTTTGAAATGAGCTATTAGCAATGAAATTATATATAGATACGCATTGGGTATTAATCGACATTTTAAATGTAGATTAATAACCTTTTAATGCCTAGTAATTAGTAAATAAATCACTTGCTGTCTATATAAACTGAACCCTATGAATTATTTCCCTTTAGTTTAATACAATGTTTATCCGCGCTGTCATTTTCGTTCTAGTTTTTCCGCTGCTTAGGAGTTTAGCCAAGGTCTGTTGTTTGGGTCTCATGCAAACCTTTTAATTGATTTTTCCCAATAGAATAACTATGACATTGTCATAAATAACGTCGAATGCAAACTTCCGGATAAGAAGTATGTCTGCTTTTTGAATTGCAAACTTCTGAGACAACGAAGCCCTGTGATAGCCGCTCAATTTATGTTGAATGAAACCTTTAACCACTTCGACATGCATGTTGTCTTTGATCTGTTTAAAAAGGATAAATCCAGGATGAATATCGCTGATATCAAGATGGATGGTTGCAAGTATTTGGGTTCCATGTATCAGAACAACATCGTAGGCAGATTGTTCAAGAGACTCAAAACCGTCAGTAATTTCCCAAACAGTTGTCCTATTATAAAGGTGAGTCCTGTGGGGACTTACTTTAAGAAGTTTTATAAAACGTTAAAAATTTAATTATCCAGGGAAAAATGTTCGAAATTCGCAACTATACTTTTAATTCGGATGAATTTCCACCAGGAGCCCCGCAGTCCAAATGGCAAATGCGTTTGCAACTACTAAAGCGAACTGAGAAAGTTGCGGATGTAATATTCGACGGCAGTGTGGTTTATAAAACATAACACTAAAGGATATTGGATGCCTATAAATAATAATAATAATTTATATAATAATTATAAATTAATTTAATATCTTAATATGGATAAATTATTTATAAATGGTGCAGTGATTGTGCTAAGATACACAATTCTTGAAATATACAATGTACAAGTATATTTTAAATGTTTTCAAAGACTTTTATGCACTTTCTAAGATGAAATCTAAAAGGTGATTTTATTTTAAGAGTTTTTTAAATTTTTTAAACCTGGAAAACAAAAGGAAAAACACTGAAATCTTTATCATCTCAGTCATCAACCATATAAAGATACATTTGTATCTCAGAGCGACATCTACTGCTACTTTACATAAGTTGACGAATTCTACACGACTTTTACATGGCATTTTTACAAAGTATCTGTAAGATACTTTACTCCAAAGTAGGAAATATATATTCAACTGTTATACAACCCCCAGAAGTTAGCTACAATAATATCTACATTTAAAAAAATATAAATAAAAAATATAAATAGAAATCTTTTAAGGAACCCCAAAATTAACAATTAAAACATCTTGCTTTTTATATATTTTCTAGCCATTTATATATTTTCGATGCTTTTTTCACTATAGCAAAAATTTGTCTTTCGGCATTATTGTTTATTGAATGGCTTGGCTTACACTTATGGAAAATACCAACATTTTGCACACTTTGTATTAGTTCTGTTTTATTTTGTTTTGTCTTTTGGTTTATGTAAAGCAACAACATTCTTTAAATGTTCTCATTTATTTATTGTTTGTATATTTTATTTTTGTTGTGTGGGGTCTTTAGGAATAGAAACTGCAAATTTATACATATTTTTGCGCACTTTTTTAGAAAAACCATAAAGTAACAAATGTCTTGGGATACATACAATTGGTTTATTTTTTGTCATATGTATTTGTCCTCTTGTATATAAGTATATGTTTTTCTTTTTTTCCTTTTATATATATGTTATTTATAATAGCCATATTATTAGTTAGAAGTAAGCATACTATTCTGTACAAGATCTTTCATTTGGTTTTATTGAGTTGAGAGCTGAGAAAGAGGATAATTCCAATGGCACATTGAATCCTCAATCGTCCAAGATGATTCTAGTGGGGGAAATATTTTTTAATTGGCGATAAATTGTATAGGATTTATTAAATTAACTAAAAGCCAAATAAATGATAAAGATAATAGAGATCAATAATTGTATATCCAAAAGATTTTTTGTTTAGATTTTGCATACTTTTCAAAGCATATAATAAATGAAAATAATTGTAAAAAATTATAAATAAATATATTATAATATATAAATATAAAAATATAAAAATATAAATATAAATATTAATTATTTAGTACTTACATTCGCTTTCTTAACGATTTCCGCTTTCTGCGTAGCTTTTTGTATGTAAATTTGCTTGGTGAGATTTTATAGTCTTCATCGAATTCTAGTTCGAGCTTAATAAGATTTTGCAAATTCAATTGGCAGTCCTGCAATAATATAATTATATTTTTAAGCATTAACAAAGAAATTTGAAATGATTTCAAATGTACATTAATTAAGTGTGATTAATATTTAAAGGATTATTATCAGAAAGTGCCAAGAGAGCTATGTCACTATATTGTTGTTTTCAGTTATTAAAGGATTATTAGGAATGTAGGATCATATAATAACAGGAGAGGGGATATAATATTATTATTTAAAATTATTTCGGTTAAAAGGAAGGGTCATGGTGAAAACAAATTATATTACACATAATCCATAGTCTAGAGGAATGATATCTATGTTTAATTCATAAAACATATAGAAAGGTATGTCTATAAATGTTTGGGCATATTTTAAGCATAATTTTTAATCTACAACTAATTTTGTGGCACTCCTGGTATTAGTAGAACACCTCTTAAAGATGATTAAAACTATTTTTTAGATATTTTATCAAACTCACCTCTAGGTTCTTGAAATGCCAGCTGGTATCGCTGACAGATCCTCCATCGCTGGTTAATTCACTGAGACAGGTGCGCATTGTGGGCCAGCATTGGCAGCGCTTGTTGGTGATCTCGCAGCCAGGCTGCAGGACAATCGACTCGCTGTCAGAACAATTTTCGTGCTGACTGTAGGTGAGGGCAGTCAGATGCTGCAAATCTGCGTAACAAAAAATAATAATGGTATTAGCACCAGATAGAAATCAATGTTGCGTAATAATACACATATTAAATGTTCATTAAGCCCCCTGAAAATAACCTCTGATTCCGTCCAGCATTATCAGCGATTAAAGTGACGTTTATTTTAAATTAGTGGCAGCTTATTTAAGCCCCAACCCATTTGCATTTTTTTCCGTTTAGTTTGATAGAATGTTTATTCGCGGTGCAATTTTCGCTCTAGTTTTTCCCCTGCAACTGGGACTTGCCAAGGTCTGTTGTTTTTTTGTCTTTTCAACAATTATTTTAACCCCGTTTTTGCATCCATAGAATAACTATGACATTATTCTAGAAAATCTGGTCTGCCGACCGGTGAGCAAACTAAACTTTTTCAATTGCCAACTTCATCGACACCGGAATCCTATGGCATCGGCCCAATTTAGTTTGAATGAAACTATTCACGAATTCGAAATTCATGCTTCTTTTGATTTGGTTAAAAAGGATAAAACCCTCATGAATGTTACCAAATTGAAGATGAATGGCTGCAAGTTTTTGAACGCCAAATACTATACAAATTTCCTTGCTCGATTGCTCAAGGGTTTCAGGTCTGTCAGCAATTTACCCAAACATTGTCCTGCACTGTCGGTGAGTGTTTGAATTAAAAAACTTTAATTTAATGCAAAATTGGTTTAAAATCGTTGAAAACTAAACTTGATTTATGCCTTTCCCTTACTTTATACCCTTCAGAAGCATGCAACGTAGTGAAAGAGTCATTTCCGACCCCATAAATCATATAATATATCATATTATTCAATTGCAAACTGCAAGGGCATTCCGAAGTTAGTTTCTTCCAATTCCATCTTTAAAAAATATTTAAAACTCTTCACAAAATATCTTTCAACTTAAAATCAAAAATAAAATGTATCTTAAGCTTGATAAACTTATCAAAATTGAGGAAAAATAAATATGTTTCGATGACAACAAGCTAAGGAGAGTCTATTTAACGAAATACAACTTCCGTTTGTTTTGTAGAAACTTGCCCCCATTCCACCATTTTCCTGTCGAGAATATGAGAAAGTCAAATGTTTTCCTTGGGGAAACAGCTTTCAATAACTAAAAGCAAATATTTGTCAACATTTCGTGTTGTGCGAATTTGAACAGCATTCGGCGACTGCTGTTGCTATTTCATTTAGCATTTACAATTTACAATTTACCATTTTCCATTTTCCATTTCTCATTTTCAATTTTCAACACAAAATTGCCGCACGGCTGCTTTGGGCCGCATTAATTCCCCTGAAAACCCGATTACACGCAAAAACCAAATTGATGGCATCAAATTATGCAGGGAAAACTGTACGAGATCCGCAACTATACATTCAATTTGAACGATTTCCCGCCAGAAGCTCCGCAAGCCAAATGGCAAGTCCGCCTCAAACTCCTCACGCGATCCCAACTCACCGTGGACATACTATTCGAGGGCAGTGTGGTCCATAATACGTGATGTTAATGCATAATGGATGCGACTAAATACGAATGCTCCATAACCATAACCCGCTCATCTTCTTTTTCTATATAATAATAATACACAGAGAAAAAAAGAGCTGGGGGAGTCTCTTTAAATTTCAACAAAATACAAGTTTTGGCTTGGAAAATATTTTTAACAAAGGAAATTGCAAAATAAATTGTTGTATCTATATTTATTTGTAGTTTACAGAAAAGTACTAAGGAATATGTTGTATTTACTAAGCTTCTTTTATTGAAAATTGTTTAAGATACTTAATAAATTCTTTTATTAAAATATAGACATGATCTATACAAGTTTGGTTTTATTTTTAAGTAATAAAACAACGTCCCTTTGCTGTCCATTTCCTTCAAGTTTTCTTGAGACCCTCCAGAATTACTAAGCTCCTTTAGATGAAAATAGTTTAAGATACTTAATAAATTGTTGTATATTTATATAGACAACTTATACACAAGTCTAGTTTTATTTTTCTATGAAAAATGTTGTAGTCTATGCACTTTTCTGCAGATTTTCTTCAAGGTTTCTTACGATAATTTAGAACTATCTAACGAAGCAAAAGGCTTTTCGCGAAGAGGGGGAGTCGGTACGTTAAAAACTAATGAAAATATGAAAACTATATCCCATAAAAAAACATACACCTAAGCTTTATCTATATGAGATTTATTTTACATTCAACATATTAAATATTAAAGCAATATCTTCAAAAAGAGAGCACCCAGAGAGGAAGGACTTTACACCCATGCACATTTAAGTTTATGAATAATTTATTTGTAAGTCATATTTGTGTGAATACTACATTTTTTTCACCGTGTGTCATATATAGTGTAGAAGTATATATATATCTGTATCTGTATCTGTATCTGTATCGACTTACCCATGCACACACCCAATCCGCTGCTAATGGGCAGCTTGGTCACACACTGCAGGGGCGGCTCACATTGACCGGAAAATCCTCCCGGACCGCCGCAGGATTCGCCCAGAGTTTTGGCGCATATGCGGCAACATCTGCGAATAGTTGGAACATAGGATAGATATATACATATATACATATATATAAAAGCCATAAGCATAAGGCTTAGGAATAGGAATAGCAATGGCTATGGAATCGAAATGAATCCCAGTAGTAATTGATTCGATTCGATTCCGTCTCGGCTCCGATAAACGTTAACAATTAGTTAACACTCTCTATTGTGATGTGAGGCTTCTAAGGAGGGGATTGCCTGATCTGAATGCCTAAGCAGTACGTGACTCATGGATGACATCGAATTGAAGGCAAGACGAGACCCTGACTCTCTTAATTATATCATTGCCAATTTAAATAATTCAATAATTAAACGGACCATAAAACGGTTCAAAAATCAAAATGTTGCGACTACTTAAAGTACTCTGAGAATTTAAGAAATATATAGATATTAAACCGAATTATAAAGTCATTACAATTATTTATAAATTTGTAAGGCCTCAGCTTGTGTGACCAATGCATAATTATGATTACAAGTCGATATAATTAACGTTTTGCATTGGCATTTTATTAAATTGTTTGCTAATTGGTTTGTGGAAGCCTTTAATTATGAAGTAAATTAAATTATGAATATCAAATTTTTGTACAAAATGAACTTCCAATCATTGGATAATACTACCTAAGCCACAGAAATAAAAATTGGAATTAAAATACATTTTTGGTTGTAAATAATTAATAACAAAATTTGTGATAATTGCCACATAAACCAAATACAAGATGTATGCAAAATTTCTTTTAAAATAACTAGATTAAATGTATTTAAATTATAAAATAAGCAATTTATGAAATGACTTTTGAGTATTCAAAATATTAATTCATATTCTGGCAATAAAATCATCATTTATTTTTCCTAATTTAATAACCAACATTGAGTATTTCCTGTAACAAACACAGCTAACACAATTTCTTTAAAAATATCAACACAAAGATAATTCACGCAATAAAAATATGCAAATAAAATCAGCGAAATTACAGCTAATATCCGTTTATTCGTTTATATATTTTTTTTTTGGGCAATAAAAATAATGCTGTATTTATGAGGGAAGCAGAGGAGGGCACATCCTCCTCCGCCCATTAAGTATACCGGAAAATATCAATTTAATTGTCGAAGGAGAAATCTCCTCGAAAGCTAAGCTTCGACTTACTTGCAGGGATCCCAGAGCATAAGTCCTTTGCCGGGGCAGTCGGGCGAGCGGATAACGTCGCACTCCTTGGGATTGCAATAGCATTTGAGGCCATTCACCACATGGTTGCTGCCACCAGATGCGGCCATTATCAGGAGCAGATAGCACCACAAGTAGATGAGCAGCAGGCTCACGTTCAGGCGGCCGAAATAGCTTCCGTTCTGCCGCATCCTGAGCGGAAGTTTGGCTTTGTTGTGCTTCTGCTCCTGTTCCCCTCGTCCCGTCCAAGTCTGTGTCCTTGTGTCCTGTCCTTCCATGACAGCGCACCGTCAGAGTTCTGCCAGTTTATAGGCAATTTTTATTGCGCCCCAGTCGTTCCAACTATGCGTTCCACTGCCTTCGCTGATGAAGATGATGATGATGACGATGAAGGAGACGAGTCCTTTCCCTGGTCAGGACACTGAGTGCGGGTTCGAGTGCGAGTCCGGTGTCCGAAGGCAATTTGCATGGCGACTGCAAAAGAAAGAAAACACAACCAGAGCGTTCTTAAATGATTAAAATGCCATAAACTACGCGCAGGAATATTTCCCTGAATTGGCAAAGCATTTTACAATTGAAAAGTTTTTGTGCGGAAATCGGTGGTGGCCGCGTCTAATTTCATTAAAATTTCATTCGCGTTTCCCTACTTTTAGGCGTCAGAGCAAATTGCTCTACGCTTTCGGGCCATAAATTAGTAAATTGGGTTCACTTTTTGGGCAAATTGAAATGTCCCCAAAACGGTGACATTTTAATTCGTAAACGAATCATTAATTCAGTTATACGATATTGGAGTTTTATTAACCTAAAATGGTAGAATACCTTTGTAACCTACTTTATATATTTTATTTCCCCCTGATTTAAGGCCAGTTTAGAATGTAGCTAGATTGATATTTTTCCTATTTTTCCGTTCTGTCTCATTTCATTTAAAATTTATTCCCGTTGCCTACTTTCCCAGTGGCAAAAGGAAAATTGGTCCTAAAATCAAAAATTCCTGCGGGAAAATTGAAATGACCTGAAAATGGTGACATTTTTTGTTTTTAATCCAATAAGTAATTTATGCAAAAATGAAAGTGAATGTAATTGTGCAAAATATATAGATTGAATTTGCATAAACGTACTGTTACTTTTTATATTCTTTCTGAAATTTATAATTGAACTCTATAAATGATTTACCATTTAAAAGTTGTGGAATTTACAATTTTGTCCAATAATTATCATACAGCTTTCATTGCTTTTTTATTCAATATTCTAATCTTGTAATACATCATTTAATAAATTGGGTCATCAATTTGTTAAATCGTTTTCTTAAAGGTCAACAAATAATTGAAAGAAAGCCTTTTATGAGTCATAAAATGTAAACATTTATTATTCCCTTCTTCTATGCCCAAGGGAAATGTTTTTTAATGACTTTAGGAAATCTTGTAAGTCACTTGAGCTGATTTAAATTAAAAAACAATTTTTGGTGACAAACTTTACTGGTCTCCTGCCTTCTGCCTCCTGAGCCGCCGCAAAACTTTTCTGGCCAATTTAAGTTTTCCCATTCAACTTGCCCCGCCGACGACCTTGCCTCCTTAATCATCATCATCATCATGTTGCAACTGGCTTTAATTAGCATCATCAACCTGATCGGCTTCAAGTCTCAAACCTCTACGACTTCGACTCGGCTTAATTAACCAAAACGTGCGGTCAGGGCAAAAAAAAAAAAAACCAGAGACTGGAAAATGAACTCGCGGCCAACACACCACAAATCAGAAAAAAAAAAAGTAAAGAAAATCCCAACAAAAAGTTAAAACGAAAGGCAAAAAAACTTAAGAAAATTAATTTGAACGAATCCCCAAAAGTAAAAGTTGATGAAAATTCAACAATGTTTTGTTGTTTTTGTTGAAAGGAGGGTGCTCTCGGTGAAATCAAATTGCGATGGCACACACATGCCCAACTAATTTGTATTTAAACGTTTGATGTCGTCCTGTGGCACTCACTCCAATTTAATTTACTCCACACCCATAACCTAGTCCAATATATACATATTTCTTTTTTTGAAAATTGTTGCGCAGTTTATTTTGCCTCGAAATCAATGGAAAAATAATAAACTTTTGGCGAATATATATATTTTCTATTTGTTTTTTTCCTTCGACCGAGTATTGCTTTCACTTTGCCTTGGCCAAAAAGGACACTCGATATTATTGCTATTGGTTGCCTGTCAACCACTTTCAATTTGGCATTCAATTTTTTATTTTTTGTTTTTGTTTTGTTGTTGTGTTTTTATAACAATGACACTAACACAAACAGAAAGCCAAACGCTTTTCCGCACAGGACACACACAAAACATATACAACACTGAGAGCACATACACACACCTCGTTACACCTAACGATAGACGTTTAAGACTAGCTATATATATATGTATATATATGATGTGGCTGTTACTTGTTGTTGTCACTGCCACTGTCACAGTTACAGTCACAGTCACAGTCACTGTCGAGAAGTCCTTTCCGCTAAACTTTCGGTTCCGCCGAAATCCTATGAATTTTTCATGCGCTTTTGTCTGCCGCACGCGGCCATTTAAGGCAAGAGACTGAACTAACCTGCTGCCATCGTGGCTGCATAGACCTTTTGCCAGTTAGAAAAACCCGACACGTATCGCTCCGATGTGGAGGATATATATATTCGGCCAACAGTCCCCCTCCCCTCTCTTTGCCTCCATTCCGAAGGATATCCCAGTATTTCCTCTCACCGAGCATGCGTCGAAGATGCAGAGCCTGGAAGGCAGAGTTATCAGACAGAACACGCGAAGGACTCTCGTAGTATGCACGAATTTTTGGGTTTATGCCAGCAGAGAAATCGTAATAAAATAAGTTAGGGTTTTTCATAAAAATTTCCCTATTTTATTTCTGTATATAAAAGCTTTAAATTAAACTAAAATGTATTATAAATTGGTAGATTTAAAAGTTAATAAGGGAGAGGGGAAGATAATAACAAGATTTGTACATAAACATAAATGTTGCATTTAAGAAATTATTCACTTTATAAAAGGCTTAATGGGTTATAGTCTTTAACTGTAAGAAAATTAACTAAACTACGAAATTTAATAATTGAAAATTCAGTCCTCAATTATTTTCGTTTCATTAAATAAATCTGACATTAATTAAGACAAAGTTTAGCGTCTTAGAATGTTTAAAAAGGTGAAAAACATTTGAACCATTAATATTCTGTGACTTAAAATATAGTTTTACCTAAATGGCTTTTAAATTGATTATGATAATATGATGCTCAAAAACTCCTATTAAATTCTAGAAATGTAGAAAATATTCCCATTTCTTTCGTACTTTCTTAAAAGCATCTTTAAATTTGAAAATGAAATATTGATGAAATTTTGTCCCGCCCAAGAACTTTTTACAAGTGATTGATCAAGGATCTAAAGAGTCTGAAGAATTGAATACCTTTTAAAGCTTACAAAAATAAAACGAATAATTATTTGGTAAAACATTTTGTACATAAAAGTAGTATCCTTTTTTAAATATGTGCAATAATAATTTTAAGTTGCAGAATTTAGAAAAAATTGTATTTTTAAAATCAAACTGACTGTAGCACAGTTCTTTACGTCTATTCAATGATTCAATTCTATTAATTTCAAGCGATTTCTGAAGTCTTCCAAATCCAAATTTAATCATCTTTGAAATATGCTTTTAGACAATTAACAATTAAAAACCACTAACAGTTTCTATATCACTTTGGCTTGATAAATAATTATAGTATAATATAAATTAAATTTAATTTTTTTCTACTTTTATTAAATACATATTCATGTATTCCCAGCAAATTCTGTAAATCTTTTAAATCGCAATCTCAGTCAACGCATAAACACTGTAGTAGCAAACATCTCTTGATGATAATGGCCCGCGCGAGGAGAGCTAACAACGGATGCAGAAACATTATTATAATTACAAATAAAGAGCAGGATGCAAGGGCTCAAGGCTTAAGCTGATCCTGCAGAGGCGAAAGAGCCGAGATTTCCTGTAGAGCGCCTATCGGGGCTAATGGCCAATTTAAAAGTATGAAATTCTTGGTCGTTTGTCTTGCGATTATTTTATATATAAATACACTTTTAGCTTTTGGCTGGCAGTTTAGGCCGCAACTTTGATGATGAGGCGGCCGTGTCAGCTGCTAATAAGCATCGCTCTAAGCAATTTGCCTCCAATAAAAGCCACACACCACAAGGTCCTGAAAGAAGTCCCCACTCCATGACAGCCGCCCTCTAAAAAATAATAATAAAAGAGGGCAAAAAACTTGCAACTTTTCCAATTAGCGTAAAACAGACGTTCGAGTCCAAAAGTACACAGAAAGAGAGCCTCGGAAAAGTGGGTGCACACGTTGTGTCGCGGTCCCCCGCATCATCTCGTCATCATCCCGAGGATGAGTCCAATGCCACAGTAAATGTTGCGTAAAACAACTGCGGATTCGGACTGGTGGCTACCCCAATCCCCAACCCTCTGTTAAACCCCCTTTTTCAGAGAGCTGAGCCCCTGTCCCGCAGATTTACAATTGAACAAAAGAGCAATCGGGAATTATGAGAGGGGCAAAAACTTTTTTTAAAACAACAATAATGGAACGTAAAGAAAACGCTCAAACCGCCAAAACGAAAGAAGCGAACAAAAAATATTACTAACCGGGCCAAGAATATGGAAATATTTCGGCACGGTGAGAATTTCTCACTGAGAAATCATTGTTAAGTAGTTTGAGATATATATCTTATATCTAAATAAGTTGATATATTCTTATCACAAATCTCAAGGTCAGACTCTACAAATTTCACAAAATAAATGAGCCAGAAAAGTTAAAATATGGCTGTTTCACAAATATTTGAAGGGTGATTTCATTGGGCAACTTTCTATAATATATAATAATGTAAATATCTACATTTGTATAATAATATATAGTCCTTGAGCTTGTATTTATATTTACAAGGTTCTTTAATCATTAATCAAACTTATATCTTACCTCATAATTCAAAGGGAATGTAAACGCAAGAGAAACAAACTAAATTATAACTACAGAGGGAAAACGATATTAAGACATAATAAATAGTTTGATTTATTCCGGAAAGAGGGTATCAGCTTTTAATTTAAAGAAACATAAATATATAATATAAAATAAAGTATAATATATAGTATATATATATATATTTATATGTATTTGATTAAAAGGACAACTTACTTTTTAAAACACAAATGCGTTTTGCTGAATTATTTGCTTTCTTTTCCAAGCATTTCCTAATAGTATATATTAAGCCACAAACTTTCTTTTAAATAAATTTTAAAAAATACTTTATTGTGAAGC